AGAGGCCTGTTGCCTATCTTTCTAAGAGACTTGATTATGTGGCAGCCAAATGGCCACCCTGTCTGTGGGTGATTTCTTTAGTGGCCCTCCTGGTAAGGGAGGCTTAAAAATTGACTTTCGGACAAAAACTCTTAATTCTCCCTTCTTATTTGCTGGATACTCTTATCAGGCTCTGCCGCACTGATGGCTGCTCAATTCCCAAGTCATGCATTATCAGATATTACTTCTAGATCTGACTACATCAGTTTCAAGAAAACAGCAGCTTGAAACCCTGCTACTCTGCTACCTGATGATGCCCCTCCTTGCCCCTCCACGACTGTATTGGGGACCAGACTTGACAGATGAGTCACTATTCAGAGTTCCTTTATATTTTTCCAGTGAAAGCTGTTACATCTATCAAGGTAAATGAGTCGCGGGAGCTGCTGTAACCACAGACTCTCAGATTCTATGGGAACCAACCCTGGAGCTGGAAACACTGGCCTGACGGGCTGAACTCATTGCCCTCACTGAGGCCCAAATTTGTCAAAATATGCATTTGTTGTTGCCCATGTTCATGGGGCCATTTATCAAGAATGGTGCTTTATTGACTTCTGGGGTCAAAAGATTAAAATTGCTCCCCAAATTTTAAACTTGTTGGCTGTCATCTGGATGTCAAGGAGAGTGGCAATTATCCCCTGAAGAGCCCATTGGGCAGGAGATGGCCTTGTTATACAAAAAATAACTTGGCAGATGCCACCGCCCAAAAGGCAACTACAAAACCAGTGGGGATTGAGATAGCCCTGACATTACTGCTGATCCCACCTACTTTGTCAGAGCCTATTTGCACTTGAAAAGACTTGTGTCTGGCAGCTCAACTCCAGAGTGATCCCTGGGGGCTAATATTAAAGCTAGCCCAGTCTGTGAGCCTCAGATGCCCTCAGTGCCAATTGGCCAACTGCAACAAATAGAAACCACTCACTATGTGGGACTATGCCTAAAAAACATTGAGACATAGACTTTACAAAAAGGGAAAAGCCTGGACTTCAAGAAAGTAAGTACTTATTAATAATGATAGATATTTTTTACTAGATGGGTTAAAGTGTTGCCTACTAAGTCTGTGTCAGCCCTGATAGCAGTTTCCCCGATTTGGCTTCCCTTTATCCATGGGGTCCAACAATGGCCAAGCTTCTATAGCCCAGATAAGTCAAACACCAACCTAAGCTTTGCAGATCAATTGGAAACTCTATTGTGCTTAGTGATTACTGGCCTCAAAGTTCAGGACAAGTAAAAAAGATGAATCAGACCTTAAAGACAATAATTACTAATGGCCTTAAAAACTGGCGAGAACTGGGTGAGTCTCCTTCCCTTTGCTCTTTTGCGTGCATGCTGTACCCCTTATGTTGCAGGTATTTCCCCTTTCGGGGCTTTATATGGAAGACCTCTTCCTCTTATCCTTAAGGTTTCTAAAAAAACTTGGCTGATTTAGCTAATCAAGATCTTATTAAGTCACCCCCCCCCCCAGATTTTTCAGCCAGTTCTGACTTCCATCCACTGGTGATTTCACTGCTGCCCACTGCAAGGGCAAACACCTTGCTGTAGAGCCTAGACACCGGCCCTTATCAAGAGGCGTCACAGTGAATCTCTTGAGCTGCAATGGACTATCAAACTAGCGAAAAAGCCTGCCTGGATTCATCATTCCCAGTTCAAGCAGGTCCTGGCTTCCAGAGGCGATCAACCTACAGATAAGTGGACTATCGTTCCCTCTATGGACTCTTTAAAGCTTAAGATTGCCAAATGTAACTGGTAATCTTGTGTTCTCCCTTATAAAAACCCAAGGAGGCCTCTGTCTGACTTTAAAAATAAATGTTACTTGTATGACAGAACAGAGTAAATTTAAATTTCTTTCTCCTTTTGGTTAACAGCTTTAATAATGACAGCTGCAAGACCTTTGTTAGTCCTCCTATTGGGCCTTATATTGTAAACAAGTTGATAAACTATATCAAAGATCTTAAAAGCTTATGATTTTAAAGATGCACACAAGGTTATAAACAGATACCTATGAGTCAATGATTTGACTCACAGACCAAAATCAGTGGGGAATGTTGTACACTAGCAAAAAGAGCTTCATTATATTTGTATTATACCAAAATACCTGTAATGTGGCCTACTGTTCTATGTGCATGTTTCTTTCCCTCTGGGTGACCTAATTGACATGTTAATCAATGCTGTCTTCTGTAAAGAATTGTAAAACCTAACCTAATTGATATGTTAACCATTGTTGCCCTCTACAAATAACAGGTGTGGTTCCCTAATAAGCTAACAGGGGTTCTTAATTACTGCTAGATTGCTCTATCCTCTCCTAGGAAGACAAAGGCCTTCCTAATTAACAGTTTTCCTGATCCACACCCAGAACCCCTTACTTTATAAATTGTGATAGGTTCTTAAATGTGGCAAGTATAGAGGAACAATGCACAGCTTTTGCGTCTCCAACTGCAATGTGTCACTGGGCCCAGGACAAAATAAATCAGTGCTGCTTTTTAAAATATGTTTTGCCTCATTTTTTGAACTTGAGTTTGGGGGCTCCTTTGTAGATTACAAGAGGTCTAGCCATTCAGACATGGGGGACACCCAGGAGACCAGGCAGCTTCTGCTCGTGGCTTGGTCCATGGCACTGTGGACAATACAGGTTAGGATGCATTGGAGGCATCTGAGTCAACAGGTCCCCACTGAGTGGGTACTTAGTTGTGGAGGTGGAAGAATGAGCAGACCAGACTGCAGAAAGAGATGTGGGGTCACTAGTGGCAATTCAGTGGTATCATTCAGAGGAATGAGAGAAGTCACCCATGGGGAATGTGTAGAGCCAGGAGGGAGGGCCCCTTATGACATCAACTCAGGTGGAGTTTACCAATCCAGCAGTCATAGACCTCAGGCCTCAGGCTGCCTGGTCAACCATCTGCAAACAGCCTGCTCAGACTGGCACCCCTCCCCACTAACCCCCTCCTGTTCACTCCTTTGAGCAAGTCATAATTATGTTCTTTGTATACTGTGACCTGGCAAATTTTGGAAGTACTGCTAATGGGTATGAAGGTAAAGGGAACTTAGAGACACAGACTGAACGAGGTGGACTCAGAGGTGGCAGGAGAACACAGAGAGCAGCCCATCCCAGAGTCTCAGGGAGAAATGGTTTCAGAAAAAGAAGTCATCAGCAGCAGTGAGAACATGAGGGAGGTGCAGTGTGAAGGGACCCCAAATATGTCCCTTGGGTTTGGAGACAAGGTATGCATAGTTGCCTTTAGTGAGAGCAGTCTCAGTGCAATCAGGGGTGGGAATTGTCCTGTGAGATTCACACATATAAACTGGAGGTGTCAGAGGATAGCAGGTGCTCATCCCTTCAGCTCGGGATGCTAAGGGGAGGGAAAAGGCCAGTTAGAAGTTTCAGGAAGTTCGGGAGTGAGGGCCTATTTTAGTGGCTGGGAAAGGTATTTAATTTCTATATTCTAAGGAAAATCCAGTAAAGGTCATATGGGTAGTTGTGGCGTGGTGAGAAGTAGATTGAGGAATAGGGAGTGCTGGGGCCTGAGAGTGCCTAGGGTCTGTGGCAGTACCATGCAGTTCTCTGCAGAGGAGAGAGGCTATGGGAATACAGATAGACCCTGCCCAAGAGCAGGGTGGGCAGTCTAGATGTGTCTAGCCTCATGACCTCTATGTCTTTTCTGAGTTGAGAAGGTGGTTAAGATGACTGCAGAGGGAACTCTGAGAAGTTGGTAATCTGAGTCCTATCCCCATGCTGTGAAATAGGAAGTTGGGGCCCAGATAGCACAGGGTCAGTTCTATAGCTGAGCACATGCGAATTCACAGGTTGGGGTGAGGGGAAGAACACCATGTACTTCTATTTCCTCTTCTCCCCGGAGGAAAGAGAACGCAGTGTCCAGGCTTGTTGTCACATAGTTCCTAGAGTAGAGAGGAGGATGAGCCAGTTTCACTGGGCATGAATTGCTTATACTTCAGGCTTCAGGACAGCACAAACCCTCAGCAAACACAGACATCTTTGGACTGAGCTGACACTGGTCCTGAGGGACCTTCCCTCAGGTGACTCAGCCCTCAGGCTCTGCAGAGAGATAGATAGATAAAGAGAGAGAGAGAGAGAGAGAGAGAGAGAGAGAGAGAGAGAGACAGAGACAGAGACTGAGAGAGAGACATAGAGAGAGGGAGGGAGTTAGAGAGGGGGAGGAAAGAGAAAAAACAGATGGGGAGCGAGAGAGAGACAGAGAGAGAGGGAGGGAGACAAGAAGAGAGAGACAAAACACAAATAGGGGAGGGAGGGGAAGAGAGAGAGTAAGAGAGAGACAGGGACAGAGACAGAGACAGAGACAGAGAAAGGCATGTGTGTGTTTGCACTGTGTGTGTGTGTGTGTGTGTGTGTGTGTGTGTGTGTGTACATCCAGTCACATCCAGGACAGCCCCCAAGCATCTTTACGTGGTATAACCAATCTTCTAGAAACAAAGAACTCAGCTGGTCTCTGCTGCCTCCTCCCCCTCTTGCTCTGCCCAGCAACCCAGAAAGAAGGCTTGTGGAGCAGAGCAAGGCCCTGCAATCTCCCAGCCCTGGGCAGCAATGAGGTAGGCCCCAGGCTCACTGTGTTGAGGGAGGTTAAAACAATACTTACCATTCCTGGAGCCTAGGCCACATGTCCCTGGGGAATCTCAACACTGTGCAAGACCAGTTCTCTCACAGGCAGGAACTCACAAATTATGGAGACCCTGATCCTTGGAGCCCTGGGCCACAAGCCAGTCTCTTTTGCTTCACAGCTGTGTTCAAGGCCTAGGATGAAGATCTGAACAGCAGAGACATACTTCTTTTGGAGACAGACACTGAATAAACAGTCACACAGAAGACTATTTAACTGTAAGCAGTGAGAAGTCTTAGGTAGGAAAGGGCAGAGTGTTATGCAGGAGAATAAGAGAGGTCCGATTTGGATTGACTCTTACAGCTCTTCTTGATCTCCTTTCTTTTTGTCCAGATTTATGGCAATTATTTTATTCATTGCTTTGCCCCCAGAGGCCTCTAAATGTGGTGAAGAATGTGGTGCTTGTTATTGATGTGAGCAGCTCCAAGTTTAGTACCAAAATGAAGCAGGTAACAAGGACCCTGGGGATCACTTTAGTCTTGGCCTTAGAAGACCAGAAAGCAGAGAATGCTGGAACAGTGAGGCCCTAGAACCAGAGATTCTATGCTCTCATCAGCCCATCAGCCCATCAGTCTTGGATCTTCTGTCTGAGCCTGATCCTGCCATAGGGCCGTGGTACCTCATACAACAGAAACCACAGAAATCTAGAACCAAGGAGCCCTAGGAACATTGCAACATTGGTCTATATTTCCTAAAACTGTCAACTCCCTGAGTTGTAAAATTCCAGGGCTCTGTGAAAGGGTTTTGCCCTAGATAGGACACTACAGCAGAGTGAGGCAGGACTAAGGGACATTTACATTGAAGTCACTTTCCCGCCCCTCGGCAATTTACCTGTGGAATGAAATGAATTCCAATAGGCTGCTTGTGCATCAGCAATGTTCCCTTTAGGCACCACCCCAGACCCAAGCTATATGTATGCCCCCCACACCATGTGTCGGGCAGAGAAAGCCAGATCCCCGGTGGTCATGAAGTCATGAAGTTTCTCTCTGCATCCTAGAATACAGGCCCTTTTTACTTTATGTTCTCTCTTCTAACTGCACCGAAAATCCTATCACTCTGTAGGTCCTCATGTCTTGGAATCCTTGAACTGGAGCACCCTGCCATCATATACTCATGATCCAATACAAACCTTACATAACACAGGCTCTGAAATTTCATAAGATGACGGGTTTTCTAGGCTTTGTTAGTTTGATCTTTTAAAGTTTAAATATAATAGGGTACTAGCACTATAGGCTTAGAAACCATAGAGTTCTGGGGCTATCAATTTGGATCTTGTAGCTCTTCTACCAGTTACCCTTGAGTCAGAATATTGGAGCCAGACTTTGGTGTTAGTACTTCAGTTGACAATAGTCTGGAAGGAGTATTGCAAACCATAATAATCTAGGGCTTTTTATTTTCCAGTTACTTTTTAAATTTTTCCCTTTGTTTTAAATTTTATAAAAACAATAAAAATAATACAGAATTTAAAACAAGATGATAGGAAATTAACAGTGCTTATTATATTGCATATTGCTATCTTCAAAATATTTGCTCAGATTACCAGATATAGGCATGCAAAACTGATCAAACAACATAAATACTAACTGTTCCTTTCACTGAACTAATACAATTAGTAGGATAATGATCTTAATTATCATATTATATATAAATATGTGTGTGTGTTTACCCTACCTTTTTTCTTTAATCTCACATCCTTATTTTTCTTTCATTTTGAGCAATTTATTTCCCTTTCACAATATTTATTATACCTTTTTGATCATATTTAGTTTTCAGCTTCCTACACAGGGAAACAATATGCAAGTCTGGTTTATTTCACTTTTGAATATGATCTCTAGTTGTATCCATTTACCTACAGAAGCCTCGAGTTTATCTTGGTTTATAACTGAGTAGTGTAAAAGTACCACATCATTTTTATTCATTCATTGGCTGAAGGGCTTTTGAGTTGTTTCTAAGATTCAGCTATGACAAATTGTGTTGTAATAAACATGGGTATGCATATGTCGATGTGAGATGATGTTTTGAATTCTTCTGGAAAAATACCCAGAAGGGGAATTGCTACGTCAAATGGGACCTCTATTCGTAGTTTTCTGAAAAACCTCCACACTGATTTCCAGTGTTTTCACCAGTCTATACTCCCACCAGCAAAGGAGAAGGGTTCCTTTTCCCCCACAATCCCACCAGCACTTGTCATTGTATGATTTTTGGATAGTAGACCTTCTTTCTGATTTGAGATGCAATCTCAGTGTTGTTTTTAATTTGTTTTTCTCAAATGACCAGTAATGTTAACATTTTTTTCATGTATTTGTCTGCCACTTGTATTTCTTCATCTAGATGTGTGCATTCATCTTAGATGCCCAGTTTTGGATTGGGTCTCTGAATTTTTATGATCTAGTTAGAAGTCCTTTGTCTGAGGGAAAATTGGCTATTTTTTTCCCAATTCATGCATTTTCCTTTTACTCTGTTGGTGATTTCTTTTTAATAAGATGAGATCACAGTTGTTGATTGTTTGAAGTATTTCCCAAGCAGTAAGATTCAAGTGTCCTGGGAAAGTAGAGCCTGCATGCATAGAGCTTTTAACCTCAGAGCTCTTGAGACTGCAATCTAACTGAGTGGTGTTTTACCAGAGGTCATCAACATGTGGGAAGGGAACTATCCCAAGCCAACTCCACAACCTTCAGTAGAGCTTTGGCCTCCCCAACTCAAAACCTTTCCAGCTTTCCTGTCTGTTTCTGAAGGGTGAGGGACAGATCTCAGTACCATTTGTGAAGTTTGTGTCCCAGTTGAAAGGATGATACCTAGCTACAGGATTATGGAATCCTTCCTCTTACCACACACAGTAATACCACATCAACTGAGGCTCCCACATAACACAGGAAGGTTGTTGCTGAAAGAACTGTAAGCCTTAGCCCTTCTTTTTTTTAAAAAGTCCTTATGGGAGCTCATAGGCAAAAATGGAGACCCATGTATAGACTTTAGATGAAGCTATAGCCTGTGGGCCTTAAAACTACTGCAAACAACAACCATAGCCTAAGTTCTAGCATCGTAAGAACAACCTGCACTGTGGTGTGCACTTGTAACTCTAGCTGCCAGGGAAGTTGAGGCAGGAGCATCATAAATTTGAGCCCATCCTGAGCAATTTAGCAAGACCTTTTTTCAATTAAAATTGAAATGAGAAGAGCTTCTGAGATAGCTCACATCTTCCTGAGTTCAGTCTCCAGTACAGGTGGGAAAAGTGTTTGCTTCACTTCCCATTCCTTGATACATTATGGATGCTTTCTGCATAAAATTGCATGGCATGCTAAGAAAGAATAACACTCACAATCTGAAGAGATAAATGTAGCATTTAAAGCAGACCCTGACATATGACAGACATTAAAATTATCAGAGGAGGAATTTAAAATAAGCATAATTGGGAACAAATATTTAGCCGGGATTCAGTGCTGTAGTGCCTGCTTGGCAAGTGTGAGGTCCTGGGTTCAGTTCCTAGTAACCACCCCTCCCCAGTTGAAATAAAATAAGCATAATCAGTATCCCACGTACTCCAATGAAATAAGTGGACAACATGCAAGAACACATGTGTGATGTAAGAAGAGTTCTGGAATTCCTAATAAAATCAAAGGAAATGCTAGAAATGCAAAACACAGTAACAGGAGTGAAGAATGAGTGAAGAAATGTGGCTTATCGGGAGAATGGGCATGGCTGATGAATCAGTGAACTTGAACATATGTCAACAGACACTTCTCACACTGAAAAATAGAAAGAAAAATGAATAGAAGACAGCATTCCTTTTTACATCACATTTTCTAATGTGAAGGCATTACAACGATACAGCACATATTGAATTGGAATCATACAGAAGAAAGTAACAGAAGAAATATCTGAAATAACGATAGATACAAATTTTCCAAGTCAAGCCACGGAGACCATACCACAGGTCCAGGAAGCGTGAGGAACAACAGGCACGATAAATATTCAAAATCTACACCTAGGTGTCACATATTCAAACAACAGAAGAATCAAAGACAAAGAGAAAATCTTGAAAAACAAAGCACTATAGGAAAAACTCCTTACCTACTGAGGAACAAGGATATGAATTAACCAGATTTCTCTTCAGAAACCATGGAAAGAAGAAGAATGCAGGGCAATATTTCCAGTGTCAAATCAAAGAAACCACCCTAGTCTAGAACTGTGTATACATCAAAATTATCCTTCCAGTGTAAAAGAAAGAAAGACTTTCTCAGAGAATCAAAAATTGCGAGAATTATCAACAGTAGACTGTTTTGCAAGTAATGTTAAAAGCTTTTCAGCAAAGAGAAAAATGGCATATATTAGAAATTTGAATGTACATAAAGGGAGGAGAAGTGTTAGAGAAGGAAAAGGAGAAGGTAAAACAAAAAATATTTTCTTCAAAATAATAGCAACAACGTATTCAGTGAGCACAGTTTAAGAAAGTGAAATTAATGACAGCAATGTGATACGGGATGAGACAGAAAAATTTGGAACACTCTGCTTCAAGATACTTGTACTAGATATAAAGCTATATAGTATTATTTGAAAGTAAACTTGAATTAGTTGCAAAGGTATATCAGGAATTTCAGGGCACCAGTAAAATTTTATTTTTAAGTGTATCAAATATGCTAAGAAATGAGAGAAAAATGAGATCATGCAGAATGTACAATTAAAACTGAAAAAGGTGGAAAATGAGTGGAAGACACACACACAAATAAAGAATAAGGGAAACAAATAGAAATCAATCAACTATATCAGTCATCACTAGATTTATGAATGGTTTAAATACACCTATGAAATGGCCAAGATCATCATTGTGAATGATCAAAAAAAATTCACTGCATGTTAATTTAGGAGAAATCCACTTTGTTTTCTGTCTCTCTCCATCTCTGCCTCCTTTCTTTCCTTCTTTTTTCTTTCTTTTCTCTCTCTCTCTCTCCCTCTCTTTCTTTCTTTCTTTCATTTTTCTTTCTTTCTTTCTTTCTTTCTTTCTTTCTTTCTTTCTCTTCTGAAACAGAGTGTCACAAAGCCTCTACCTTGCCCAAATTGGGCTCATAGTCTCCATCCTCTTTCTTCATCCTTCCGGAGTGCTAGGATTACAGGCCTGCTGATTATCACCATACCTGGCTAAAACTCACTTTAAATATAAAGATACAAGTAAGACTAAAAATAAAGCACTAGAGAAACACGGACAATGGAAACACAAATCAAAAGATATCTGGGGTAACTATGTTAATTTATGACAACTAAGACTTCAGAGCAAGGAAATTGTCAGGGAAATAAGTGCATAATATTTTGATAGAGTTCAGTTCTCCCAAAAGATATATCAGTGCTTCATGTGTGTGCACCTAATAACAGTACCAAAATGCATGAAGTACGATCCATTAGAACAGGGAGTAGAGACAGATGAATTCACTACTGTAGTTGGAGACTTCATCACCCCTCTATCAGTAATTGACAGATTGCCATGGCAGCAATCAGTGATGAAGAAATGCCACCATCAATGAAGATAAGAATACGTTAATGCAAATGTTACCTGTTTGAGTTACTTTTCTCACTGCTGAGACAAAATAGCTGACACCTAAAGTTAGAGGAGGAAAACTTTTAATTTGCTCACAGTCTGTAGAAGTTTCAGTCCATAATTGGCTGGCTCCAAGGCAGGGTGGCTTGGCACAGGGCCATTACAGACAAAAGCAGTTCATGGCAGGCAGTCTGTAGCCAAAAATCAAGGGAGAGAGAGACAAGTCTCTTTCTGTCTTGTAAATAGAATACAGTCTACTGGGATTAGGGTAGTGCCAATCCAACCAGTGAACTAATCCAAAAATCACCCACCCTTAGTCCCAGCACCCTTGATGCCAGCATCACACTACCAGTCGATCACATACTCCAGATTCAGCCACCTCCCAAAAAACCCTATGACTGCATGAGGCTTTACTGTCACATCCAGGCACAAATCGTAACACTCCAACCCTAGCCCTCCATCCTTTTATTCATCTCTTTATTCATGAAGGCATTTCATTCATCTCCAAGAGCTGCCAAAGTCCTAACAGTTTCAGTGTTGCTGAAAAGCCTAAGTTGAAAGTCTCTGAGATTTAAGGCAAACTTAGCTGTGAGGCCCTGAACAAATGGAAAAGAAAGTCAAACACTTCTGACATTTGATGGCACAAGACAGACATCTCCATCTCAAAAGTTGCAAAGAGAAAGATACAAAGGAATGGGACTAACACAAGTACAAAATCCAACAGGGCAAAGATTAAGTCCTGTAGCAGCTCTATGTGAAGCACCCGAGGCAATCGGTGGCAACATGTGAACTCCAAAGGGCTTGGTGGCTCTGCCCCTGTGGCACCTCCAGTGGTTGCAGCTCCTATACCTCATCTCTTGGGCCCAATCTGCTGTCTCCTTGCAGTTTTCCTCAGATGATCCTCATCCCTGGCTTCTCCAAACCCTTCTGGGGCCTCCACTGAACCTTTGGCTTCACATTCACAGCTTCACACCCTGCCCTCTTGGGAACACTACCTGGCCTCCCAGGCCTTCTGAAGTCTGGGTGGAAGCCTTCCTGATGCCACAACTCTTCCATTCTGCATGGACCTAAAATCAGTACCCCATGGATGATGCCAAAGTCTGCTGCCAGAAAGAGCAGTAACCAGGCTTTCCTCTCCCTTGGCTGTAAGGGTCAAGTGCCTGGATCACTGAAAGGTATGAATCCATTTCCAAGGAACAAATTCTCTAGGCTGCTGCCATTATGGAATATGGTGCTCTGGAGCGTTCTTCTCACAGCAAAGTCTTTCACTTTTGCAGGTTTGAGGCTGCAGAGGGTGGGGTCCTGCTGCTGGTTGTGATGTCTGCAGTCCATCTTTTCTATTTTCCTATTGCTTCTCAGCCATCAAGATCTCCTCTTCTCTATCTTTGCAGTCCATGAATTTACTGGAGATGCCTTTCTGGTCAAACTCACAATGTTTCAAATCATTCTGCTGGGCTCGTTGTTCTTGATTCTTAACCTAAACCTGGCTAAAACCCCCAACAGTAGGCATGCCACCACTTCAACACTAGATTGCCTTGAAACTTCTTCTGCCAGATTATTTAGCCCACACCCTTAATTTCAGTCTCAGGCAAACTCTCTGGACACAAGCAAAATGCAGACAAACTTTCTGTCAAGCCATAACACATTGTCCGGATTCCAACAACCGATGCATCCCTTCTTCTCATCAGAACCTTCCTGAGCATGGCCTTTATCGGCCTTCTGGTTTTCTGAACTCTGACCACAGTCTCCCATACAGAACAGCCTAAGGCATTCAAGATCTACTTTTTCAGCCAGCATCTTTCCAATCTCTTCAAATCTTTCCAATCTCTTCCCACAAGCCATACCCAAAGGCTCCTGAACCATCACAACGACCAAATCTTTCCAATCTTTCCAATCTCTTCCCACAAGCCATACCCAAAGGCTCCTGAACCATCACAACGACCTCACTTCTCCGGTGCCAAATTCTGTCTTAGCTACTTTTCTCTCATTGCTGAGACAAAATACTGATGCCAAGTTTAAGGGAGGAAAGGTTCATTTTGCTTACAGTTCATAGAAGTTTCAGTCCATAATTAGCTGGCTCCAAGGCAGGGTGGCTCATGGCAGAAAGGCACCAAACAGTTCATGGTGATGGAAGACAGAAAATGCAAGGAGAGAAAAAGGGGGAAACAAGCCTCTTTCTGTCTGTTTTGTCTTACACAGACAGCTGGGATTAGGGATTGGCTGCCAATACAATCAGTGGACTGATCCAGCAATCACTCACCGTTCATCTCAGTACCCTTAGTCCTAGCATTGAACCATGAACCAATCACAAACTCTAGATTCAGTTACCTCCAAAAGAGCCCCATCTAAAAGTACATGAGGCTTTTGGGGGACATCTAGACACAAATCATAACATTATCTAGGTGGCACAACAAGAGCAAATTTATGGAGGTGAAATAGAATCTGTGTTATCAGGAGTCTAGCAAGAAGACTAGCCTGAAAGAAACAGAGGATGAGAGTGAAAAGCAGGGTAGAGCAGAACCAAAGTGTGTGAAGTCACTGAGAGACATATATAGAGACCTGTAATCATGAGGATCTCAAACTTTAGGATTCTGAAATCACTGAATCCTGGGTTATGGGGTCAGGAATCATAACAGAAATGGACACTAGACCTCTGAAAATGCAGAACCCAAACCCGTGAGGCCACTGGTATCTAGTAGAACATTTTTGATGATAGTACTATTAGTATTAGTAGTATTAGTGTTATTTCAGTATGAGGGGTTGAATTCAGGGCTTTGCACATGCTAATAAGCACTCTACCACTGAGCCAGACCCTAGCTCTTTATTTATTTATTTCATTTTATTTTGAGTCAGGGTCTTACTAAGTTTCTCACATTGGCCTTAGGCTCACTGTCATCCAGTCTCGGCCTCCCAAATAGCTTGGATTACAGGTACATACTATCACACTCGCCTGAAGATGTTTTAAAATTGTGTGCTGCTTAAAAGGTAGTGACTGGCCACAGGTGGTTATTGAACACTTGAAATATGGCTATTTAAAATGAAGAACTAAATTTTAAAACTATTTTGCACTTCAATTTATATGGTTACTTATGGCTAGCAACTGCAATATTGGCCAGTGCAGTTCTAGATCTAACCCTTGGATCATAAAGCCCACCAGAGTAGTTTGACCTGATAACCCTTGACCCACAGAATGCCTAAATTAGAAGGTGTTGGAATCTTACAGCATATAAAATCCAGTACCTCAGTGTACAAAGAGACTTTCGCACTCATAGACTTTAAATCTTGTCTTATCATCCATATCCTGCAGACCGAAAAAGCCATCAATGTGATCCTCATTGATCTGCAAACCAATAACTACTTCCACATCATCTACTTTTCTGATGCAATTTGTGTCTGGAAATCTGAAAGCTTGATCCAGGCCACTATGCAGAATATCCACAGTGCCAGGGGACACACTGAAGCTGATGGTTAAGCCTACCTACTCAAACATGCAGGCTTTGGAAACATGAGAAGTTCCTGAAACCATCCCTTTATTCCCCCATCTTCTTCATCTCTCACAGTGCTTGAAATATCACTATTGTATTTTACTCACTTATGTGCCTTCATGTCTTGTGTTCCCCTCCCATCTTCCTTTCCTAGTGGAAACAACTGATTCCAGGTTAAGTGGAAGTGTTAAGCCTACCTACTCAAACATGCAGGCTGTGGAAACATGAGAAGTTCCTGAAACCATCCCTTTATTCCCCCATCTTCTTTATCTCTCACAGTGCTTGAAATATCACTATTGTATTTTACACACTTATGTGCCTTCATGTCTTGTGTTCCCCTCCCATCTTTCTTTCCTAGCGGAAACAACTGATTCCAGGTTGAAAGGGCACATTCTCTTTGGTCCTGAGTTTTCCCCTCCTTAAAGTAAACACTGGAGAGAATTTGCTAAGATTTCAAAAACCAACTACCTAGATATTTATTTCCATGCATTGAACAAACTGCTGCCCTGATTCCAGGTTTTGATCAATCTTCTCTCAATTACCAAAGTCTCACCTGCCTACCACCTGTCATCTCAGCCTTTTCTTTTCCTGTAGCATGAAGAAGGTGGGGACTGTATTCTTGCATAGCTTCCAGTCTGACTAGTGAATGAAACATTCCCCCAGAGCACAAGCAAAGAAGAGTCTGAGCTGTTGTGACGAGCCAAGGACATGTGGGTCTCCTCTCCGATCTTAGGTAGGCTGGGTGGGGGTACAGGAGTTGGGAGGGATAAGCCGCAGAAACAGGGTGAGAAAAACTGAGATGTGATTGAAACAGTAAGGTTGGTGGGCTACCCATTGTATGGACAGAAATGACTAGAGAAGATGGTCCCACAGTCTGTTCTCCAATTAGGGACGGCATCAATGCAGCCCTGCTGGAAGCTGTGTCAGTATTGGACCATAACAACCATGAGTCAGGGAAGGGCGCCAGTGTGGGATGGTTCCACTTGCCATCTTCGTGACTGATGGGGAGCCTAAAGCCAGCATGACAACAGCCAGTGTGAGTGATCCTTCACAAAATTCAATGGGTGCTGGGCTACAAGGCACCCTTTTACATCTTGGCCTTTGGAGGTGATGCTGAACTCCCCCACTGCTGCATCACCTGTCCCTGAAGAACCGGGGTGAGAGTGGGGGCAGCCTGATGCATATACGAGGATGCTGACATGGCCCTCCAGCTAGAGCACTACTATGAAGAGTTCGCCATGCATCTACTAGCAGATGTGTGTCTGGACTACCTGTTGGAACCTCCAGTTGGGCCTTTTTTCCCCAGCTGCTTTGGTGGGTCAGAGCTGATGGTGGCTGGCCAGGCACATCCAGGGGAGCAGGAGCTGGACTGCCTGCCAACCTGTGACCCTGATGGTCTGCCTCTTGTGGACCACCAGAGTGAAGGAGCCACAAACAGCAGCCAGAAAGCCTTTGGTTTCCCAGGGGAGTCTGCCCTCAATCTGATGCGCTTTATTTGCCATCTTGGCCTATGTCATCATTGGAGAGCTGCGGGAGGCATGCTTCCATGGCAGTGACACCACCACTTGCCTTTCAAAGTCCTCAACATATCCCTTAAATACAATATTGTCACATCTCTGACTTCAGTGATTGTGGTGTAATCCAAGGAAGCCAGTGAGGAGCCTGGGAGACAGTCATCCAACACATCTGCATCAGACAGAATCACATCCTCCTCCAGCAGTGGCCATGGTCTAAGAACAGGCACAGCTCAGGCAGTCTTGATGCCCAGGGTATCCCCCAAATCAAGGCCTGTGAGAGCAACCTCAGGTACAAGTGCCTCTACAAATAAGATGCTCAATTCCAAGGATCTGAAGCCACTGAGTCAGGACTCTAGTTCTCTATCAACCTCACTATACGTAAAGCTCCAAGATCCAGCACAGTAAGATTCTGGTACCTTGACCCAGCCAACTCCCATGATGAAACTTGTTGCCCTTATGCCTTGAAACTCTAGCATTCTGTTGCCTCTGAGGCCCCGCACTCCATCACACCAAGATCATTATATCATCCTAGAATTCTAATACACAAGTCCCACCTCCAACTCAGCTCAGTGCTGGAACCATGAAACATTTTATTCCACAGCATCCCAAACCTGATGCTCCATCATAACCTAAATCAGACACTCCATCACACCCCCAACCTGGGCTACTCACATCATGGTTGCCAAAAAAGCCTGCCACAGTCCTGATCTGTAATCTCCATGCTTCAGATCCTCAAATACTCACCACACACCAGATCTAAGATTCCTGCTCTCTAGACCCAAAACAACTTGCCACACTCTACACTTGTGATCCTCTTGCCCAGAAGCCCTAAAGTCCCATCACCTCTTAAACCCAGTGCATCACCTCACCAAAATTCCACAAGATTATCATTTTCCATGGTTGGAATCCCACCATTCCCCATATGCCCAAAACTGTGCTATTCCCCAGATTCCCAGATTCCCCAGAGTCTCCAGTGGCAAAGGTCCCAGCAGTACCATGACCACCTCTGTCCCTGGAGAACCCCACATCTCTCACTTTACCACAAGAATGCCCTCTCTGTTGCATACTGGGAAACCCTGGCACAGGCAAGGCCTGCCACTAGGGTGCCAGAGCACAACTTTCCCAAGAGTCTCATCACTGGGCCTACTCAATGGCTCCAGACCTACGCCAGAAGGCAGACTCCAAAACCTGCCAAATTTGCTGCCTTCTAGCACTCTTCCTGAAGCCATCAGTCTGCTCCTTCTCCCAGGGTAAGTAGAGCCACTTTCTGAGTTGATGGTGCATTATAAATTTGTGGAGTCCTTGAGTCCATCGACTTTCTATATCTTCCTCTTGACAAAGATGGTGAGTCCCATGATGGGATGTCAAGCTATGGTGGGAAGATATGAATGGAGAGCAGCAGGAGCTGCAATTCTACAAGGCATTTCAGGGTGTAGTGATAGTCGAGACACTTACTTGCTTGATGGCTTTGGAATTTTCAGACAAATTATTTAACACCACCATGCCCCAAGACATAGGCACAGATTCTGGAGCCTTGAGAGATAAGACTTGGAAGACTGAATAGAAACACACTGAACAAGTTATAGCTTTGACATTGTTGGAAAGGTGAGTTGCTAATGATTCCCAAACAAGAGAGGGACATAAGAGTATAAATTGGAGCACTACTGGGAAAGGCACATCTGATTGGTCTTTCTATGCCCTGTGAAGAGCTTTGCATCGGGGCTAGGGATTTAGCTCAGCGGCATAATCACCTGCCTTTGCAAGCAGGTGGTCATGTGTTCGATCCCCGGTACCAATAAAAAGGAAAAAAGACAAAAAAAAAAAAAAAAGAGCTTTGCATCATAAGAAGGGTATAAAAATTTGGGAAGATGATAATATACTTAAATTTCCCAAAGACTGTGAAGTAATAACTATCTTGTTTTTGCAGCACTGGGAATCAAACCCAGAGATTCTTATATGCTAGGCAAGTGCTCTACCCCTCAGTTACATTCCCAGAACCAAGTAACAACAGTTTTGGGGGCTTCCTATGTGCAGGTACTTGTCTACATAATGTGCCTGTAGTCTCTCATTTAATCCCTACAAGAAACTGTCAATACACACATTATACAAATGGGAGACAGAAGCACAGAGAGGGAAAAGTAACTTGCTCAGTGTCACATAGCTAGTCAGAGGTGTGAAGCATTACAATCTGGTTCCAAAATAAATGTGTTTACCACTCTACTATTCTGCTTTTTTAAAAAAATTTTATTTAAAGAAAGACTAAACAAAATAGAAAATAGGTAGAAATAATACATATGTTCAAAGAAAGAAATAAACAGTAAGAAATCACTCGTTGATGCTTACATATTGTCATTTTACATATAGTTGTTCAAGATACAAGCATGGACCATGTAAAGTGGGAATTCAAACAATGAGACCGCAAACAGTTCTGTTCAACTGTCCAACAAAAACTTAGTAGCATGGTTGTCAATACTATACACTTAAACATACATGCAGTTATCCATAGCTTCATTTATGTTTAGATTAAACAAACTAAAGCAGATTAAAATCATTCTGAAAAAGAATATTAGTATTGCTGGATTTCACATCATGATACTCTGTGATCAGCACTGGGAACTTTAGAGTCTTTTTTAAAATTTTATTTAAAGAAAGACTAAACAAAACATAAAATGGGTAGAAATAATACATAGTTTCAAAGAAAAAATAAAGAGTAAGGAATCACTAGTAGATGATTCCAGATTGTCTTCTTACAAATAGTTATTCAAGATTCTAAAGTGGGGCATATAAAGTGTGGATTCGAACAGTGAGATGGCAACCAGTTCTGTTCAACTATCCAACAAAAACTTAGAAATATGGTTATCAATCCTATACACTTAAACATACACGTAGTTATCCATATCTTCAATTATGTTGAGATTGAACAAACCCAAGCAGGCTAATATCACTCTGAACAAAGTATAATACTATTTCTGGGTTTCACATTATGAAACTCCAGGATCAGCACTGGATACTTTAGTGTCTCTTTTTCTTCAAAGTAGCTGTTCATTTCATCATGTGTCATAAAATCAGTTCTCGGGCTGGGGATTTAGCTCAGCGGCATAAGCGCCTGCCTTGCAAGCAGACAGTCGTGAGTTCGATCCCTGGTACCGATAAAAATGAAAAAGACAAAAAAAAAAATAAAATAAAATAAAATAAAATAAAATCAGTTCTCATAAACTGTTTATAGATTCTACACATGCATGAGTCTTAACATATATTTTCATCCTTTCTATATTAGAAGGAGAAACAAAACAAAGCAAGGAAAATCAAAACATATTCCTATAAACACATGAAATGAAATAAACATGTAAGACCATTGTACAAAGAGTTCTACCTGGTTCCTCTGTTGTCTCTTGTTATCTCCAATAGAATTGGCTGTATCATCAGACATTGTATAATTGAATATATCAGTACATAACAGTATTAATAAAAACACAACTTTGTGTATAGTATATAACTTCAAAAAACCAGCAGTTATCAAACCAGCATGTGTATCGTAGAGTCTTGTCATCTTCAATGTAGTTGACTATACTCTCAGACTAGATACTATCAAGCTTATCAGTTTTGAATAAAATCTTCTCTACTTCACTTCTGTTAAGCACTTTTTTGGCCATCAGTTGTCTGCTCATCTTCTTTATTATGTTTTCTGTTCCATTCATTTGGGCCTCTTTGCCACTGTTCCTGGTATCCTAGTACTTTTCTCTCTCCCTAGAATGCCCTGCAGTATCCTCTGTAGAGTTGTGTTGGTGGTTTTGAATTTCCCAAGTTCCTCTTTATCTTGGAAGCATCTTGTTTCTCCATTAATTTCTAGTGACAATTATTCAGGGTAAATCAATGTGGGCTGGACTTTATTTTCTTTCAGGGCTTGGAATACTTCACTCCACTGATTTGATGGTTTGTGCCGAGAAGTCTGCCATAATTCTGAAGGGCTTTCCCTTGTAAGTAATCTGTTTCTTGTCCCTGACAGCTTTCAATATTCTGTTCTTATATTGGACTTCTGGTATCTTGATTATTTTATGCCTGGGTATAGTTCTGTTTTGGTTGTACGTGGCTGGAGTTCTGTATGCCTCATACACTTGAATATCATTTCCTTTTCCTGTGTTTGGGAAGTTTTCCTTAATTATTTCTGTGAATAGCGTTTGTAGGTCCACTGTTTGTACCCCTACTTCTTTATTCACATTCTTTATTCTTAAGTTATAGACCCTCTTTTCATCTTCTAGCCTTTGTAATGTTACTGCTTGCTTCCTTGTTATTTTTTAAGAAACTTTTCCTTTCATGATCCCACATTGCAAACCTGTCCTCCAGTTTGGATAATCTATCCTTAGTTTCTTTCAAGCTGCTTTTCCATCTTTCCATAGAGTTTATAATTTCCTGGTGATCCTTTTGAATCTGCTTTATGTATTCTATATTTTTTATATTCTTCATCAAATGGTTCTCTCTATTGTTTAAGTTCCTCCCTTCTTCCCTCTGTGTCTGCTTGAAGGTGTCTCCAAGTTAGTGTCTCTTTTAGTAATCTTCTTATATCTGTCTTTATTTGGCTAAATATTTCAGTTTTGAACTCTTCTATGAGGTCCTGAATATATCTCTTTATGTCCACTGGTGTTGTGTCTGATACTCATGTTTGTTGTTCTCATTCTCCTTTCTATTTACCTGTCCTGGGTCAATGTTCTCAAGGTTGGGACCTGGGGACTTTTTGTTGTTGCTTCCTCTTCCCATCTTTTTTGCTTCTTGCAGGAGGCCCAGGTTTCTTTCTTTGTTCATTATAATTCTTCTGAAGCATGCTGCCTAGATGACCCATCACACTGCCATGTGCTAGTCAGTTGCAGACAGGGACAGCATATACTGGCCCCTCCCCTCCGAATCAGTCCAGCTGCTGTTTCCTGCACTGTATTACTTTGTGCCACCTCCCTTCCAGACTGGAGGGGGTAGAGGGGGCAGGGGTGGCTGCAGCCAAAGGTCGCCAAGTCTCTCAGCTCCCTCAGCCTCTGGCGGCCCATGGTGACAGTTCTCACCAGTGGCCTAGAGGCACCGGAGGCAGTGGTTGGAGCTTGATGGTGCCAGACAATTCAAGCTGCTGTGGCATACACTGTATTTGTTTGTGCCACCTCCCTTCCAGGCCAGTCAAGCTACTGTCACCTACACTGTCAGTCAAACTTCTGAGGTTTCACTGAGTTAGTGTGGTTAGTGCATGCCACTGTTGTAAGGACTTGAGTTTGGATAACCTATTGGGTCTCAGCCACGTCATGTGACCCAGACCTACCTCATTCCACCAATCCTGTTCAGGAAAGGAAAAATTGACTGAAGTCACTGCTGCCCCTTGTACTTGCCAGTCCTGCCCAGTCCCAGAATGTCATTCGCTGGATCCCCCCTATTTATGGAATGCTTTTAGTCCTGTCACTCACCACAGGTCAATGTAGGCACCCTGCCAACGCAACTTTCCTTTTGGCTCACCAACTCAGCTCTCCTTTAGGCTTACCGAACCCCAAACTCAATGTCGAAGCCACGGCACCTCAGATGGCTCGGCAACTCATGGTGCGACCTCAGCATGTCGCAGTGGGACCTTGACAAATCATGGTGAGACCTTGGCAAATCACAGTGGGACCTCGGCAAGTCACAGCAGAACCTCAAGTGGTTAGCAAGTCACCTTAATTTCTTCTTGAGACGAGAGAATTCATCTCCCTCTGTTTGGGATTCCCCACTCTGTACTATGCTGAATTCTAAGTTGACTATCTCAGGGAACCTCTGTAGCCAGTTGTTATGTATCCCTCCATCTTTGCTCCTCCTCTTATTCTGCTTTCTTAAGGCAAGATGTGCCATTTGCTGGGTGACTTTACAGGGTGGGGTTGGGTTGAGGGTGACTGTAAGTCATGGGGATGCAAATTTGGGCATGTTGAGCCTGCACCATTGCTCCCAGAGGCTGGTCGGCCTGGGGTGAGTGTCCCCACATGATCCCCAAGCCCAGCTAGTTTGGTATCCTCACTCTGCCCGGGCAGGGAACTTTACATCTTCCTGTTGCCCTGCACACGCTCAGTGGGACTTGAGTGGGCCTCGCTGCTCCCTGCCATGCTTAGCAGACTCTGGAGTTCTAGGTGTACAGGTGCCATCACTCCAAGAGGTGGGGCAGCCTGAGATGAGTGTCTCCACCCGATCCCCAAGCCCAGCTAGTTTGGGATCCTAGCTTGACTCCGGATGGGAAATTCCACAATTTCTGTTGTACTGGACGGGCTCGGCGGGGCTTGAGGGGGCCTCGCTCCCCCCTGCCATGCTTAGCGGACTCTTGAGTTCTAGGTTTGCTGGCACCATCACTTCCAGAGGCTGGGCAGCCTGGGGTGAGAGTTCCTGCATGATCCCCAAGCCCAGCTAGTGTGTGATCCTTGCTTGGTCCCGGAAAGGAAACTCCATGCCTTACTGTTGCACTGGACTAGCTCAGCGGGTCTGGAACAGCCTTGCCACTC